GTATATTTGGGTAATCCCTCAAGGTTTCGAGGATAATCGTAACAATACTTTATTTAAACATAAGGGTTGCTCACAGTTCGAGTGTGTTATCTTGTTAAAGTTGCCACCTTTTAACTTTAGAAGTAAACTGTGAGTACCCTAATTGTTTCTTTTGTTATATACATACACATCGGCGTAGCCAGAATGAAATTTAGGGGGGCTCGACCCTATTAAGCTGGCATTTCAGGGTACTATTATATATATATACAAAGAAAATTTGAAAGTTAGGGGGGGGCGGCGTTCGAGCACCCCCCTGCCCCTACCTGGCTACGCCCATGTACATACATATGCACATCGCGAAGAAAAAATAAATATGAAATATACATTTCCTATAATAAATTTTATTTCCACATTTGTAGTACAATTGATAAATAACCCATGATAAAAATATTTATAAGATACAATCGCTGAGAGCCAGCTTTGGGAATTTTGACGTTTGCTAGCATTTTTGAAAATTTCTCTCGACCTCATTTCATTTGTTTGTTTTTATTTTCACTCAAACCAAAGAAATATATTTCTGTCGAAACATTAAAATTTGAATGTACATTCATAGATATGTACATATGTATGTACATATATAAATAAATAAATGTTAGAAATTGTGTAATGAATTTCTGTCCACATGATAAGCCGAAGATTTTGGCATATTTTGTTTAACTTAAACTTGAAGTCACTGCACTTTTGCTAAGAACAATCTTGTGTCAAGTGGTGTAGCAAAAAATGAGCCTAGCGCACTTAGGCACTTGGGAAAATCCGCTGCCTTAACACCACCAGCCTCAAGTTTTGTTGTAGCGGCTACAACAACCCCGCCCAGATCGGTTGGTATCTCAGTCGTTGTCGTCAAGTTCCACTAACGGCAACCCTAGGAAGCGTGCAGCTTCTGTGGGATCTGTCCACAGGGACAGGGCCGTTAGGGTTGTCGGGTTTTCCGGGCATGCGAAGAGATGGTTCGAGTCATGTGGGGTCTCTCCGCATGCCGGACATTCGTTCGGCACATCCTCATTCAGCCTACTCAAGTAGGAGTTTGTTGTAGCCGCTACAACAACAACAACATCTAGTTTTGCGTACATATGGTAATTGCGGGAACTTGAAAGAACTTTATAGTGCTTTGCTTGCAGGTAAAAACGGTATTAGCGCAGCCGCTAAAGCAGCATCTCATTTTCCTTCTATAAAACTTTAAGTTGTTCCCACATTTGAATAAATAAAATTTCAAATTATAAATTTTCATTTGTTTATTTTGAAATTATTTGACATTTGAATAATTTCGAGAGAGTAAACTCAAAATGCTAGCAAACGTCAAAAAACCCCAATGGCGGACGAATTGGGCGAGCGGTTTTACCCATGATAAAAACATAGCAAGGTTCTCTCCGTTCTCTCAATTTGTCGGCCATGATTTTTGTTTGAAGTTTGCCAACATTTTAAAATCATATAAAAGGGAAAATAAAAAATTGATATTGTTCGAAATTGTTGTTGCTTGAGATTGAAAATGAAAATGTGTGTGTGAGTTTGTGAGTAAATTTAAAAATTAAATTGTTTGGTAACGTCAAGAATTTTAAAAGTGACTCTCAGCGGTTCTACCTTACTATATTTTTATCATGGTTTTACCTTTAAATATTTGTATCATGAAATAACCTTTGAAATTGATTTGAGTTAACGATATTCTCGAATGGAGATCAAACTCCCCTTTTAATTGAAAAAGCTGTAATTTTCAAATCAATATCAAATAACTTTCAAACGTTTGACATTTCAGAAAGGCTGTGATTTCAAATCATTCTCAAATGTATATCACACCCAAGAATGATAGAATACAAGATTGCGCCAATCGAGCTGAGAGCAAGAATGATAGAATACTTTCTGGATCTGGAATATTTTCTGGATGGTGTATCACACCCATGATTCAATAATAAAAGGTTTGCTCAAAAAACAGTTTTCTCGCTCCCTCTTGACAAAATCGGCTCCCTTAGCAAAGCACTGTGTGTGAGTTCGTGTGTGTGTGCAAAGCTTTTGTAAGGGAGCTAAGGGAGTGTCAAAACTCTAATGTCACTAATGAGCAAACCTTTAATTATTGAATCATGTATCACACCTAATTGTTTGCTGTGAAGCGTGTGTAAAATTTTTTTGATATTCGAATCACGCGTTTGGGCACGGCAACCAAAAATCGTTGTGCAAATAAACGGGTTGGCTTTCCTTTATGGTCGTTCGTTAAAGGGGCGGTGGGCGTGGCACCTCTAACCCACGTTTTTGGAGAGGGAATGAACCGCCATTGACAAAAACGCAACCCCCAACCACCTAGGTCCCCCTTAGAAAAATTGCCAAAAATCACAATTTTCATTTGCATTTATTCGCTTCAAAAATTATAAATATTCATTTACACAATACATTTTTACAACACCCAGTAACCAAAATAGACATCACTGGGGCGGCAGCCCCAGGTTTACCACACAGAAAAGGAATTCTAGTTACCTCATCCTTTCCTAAGGTTACATCACTGGGGCGGTAGCCCCAGTTAGGTCACACAGAAAGAATTCTACGTAGTAAGGGTTATAATCCCTAAGCGCGGCCGAAGGCCGCCTACGCAGAAAGGAATTCTACGCAAAAAATACTGTGGACGCAAGTAAAAATTGCGATTTTTGGCCATTTTTCTAAGGGGTCCGTAAGGAACCATAGCGGGCCTAGGTGGTCGGGGGTTGCATTTTTACCAACGGCGGTTCATGCCGCCCAAAAAGGTCGGTTGGAGGTGCCACACCCACTCCCCTTCGCCCACCGCATCTTTAACGAACGGCCATAATGGAGTTTCGCCAAATAAACACTACCCACTACTTGACCAAAGCGCCAAAAAACTACTTATTTGGTAATTCTCTAGGGTGGGGTAACAACCCCTAAAAAAGGTGCGGAAAAGTACCAAACGACGCGTTTCGGTCCCCCTAATAATAATCCGGAGGGGGCGAGATAATATTATTAACCATTTAAAAGTTATGAACAAAAAACTTTTGTTAAATTTCGTTGTTTTCTATGAGCAATTACCACGTCAAAAATGCACTAAATCATCAGTTTCCACTTTTAAAACACTACTAAAACGTTTCCGGTTATTATTTTATGCAAACCAAATCATTTATTCACTTTTATTTTATATATTTCGTTAATAAAACAGAGTAAACAAACTTTGCGCCTGCTAAAATTATTATAACCTCAAATCGCTGGTATTGCCACTTTATTTCACATTTCATTTGCGCTATTATACTGTTTACACTATACACTTCTTCTTCTTCTTCTTTTTACTTTCATCTAAATAAGATATAACCAAAATATAATAGCAAATTTCGCTATACCATCGCGCGATTTTTTATTAAAAATTTTCATTATTTATCGAAGTATTGATTTCTATGGAAAAAGCGCCGCAGGCGAAAATTTTTAATAAAAAATCGCGCGATTTTTTATTAAAAATTTTCATTATTTATCGAAGTATTGATTTTTATGGAAAAAGCGACGCAGGCGAAAATTTTGGGAAAATTTTAGTAGACGGACGGCAAATTCTAGAAAAAGGGGGGATGAAGGGGGGTAGAATAGGACCCCCTGATTTCAAAACTACCCCCCTTTTTTCTAGAAACCCTATAGTTCTTATATAATTTATTGTTAAAGTTTTCATATAAACGATGAATAAGATAGCAAAATAACATACAACTTAGTGCTACCAGACTGGAATTTTGAATAATAAAAGCGGATTTTTAATTCGGAATTTTTACGCGATTTTTTATTAAAAATTAAACGAAAGAAGATACCGAAAAGCATTGAACAGTGCACACATCTCATAAGGAAAAGTGAATTATTACGAAATACTAATACAGTGGCAGCACTATAGCTATTTTGGAATCTCGCGTTTCGGCTCGCAAAGATTGTCAACTTCTTTTTAATAACAAACTAATCTATCTTAGGTTGATAAAACTAAGTGTTTCTTTAATAAATAAGTTAAATTATATATTTTAATAGTGTTTAAAAAGTGAGAACAGGTGATTTAGTGAATCTTTGTCGGTGTAATTGCCCATAGAAAACAACGAAATTTAACAAAAGTTTTTTGTTCATAACTTTTAAATGGTTAATAATATTATTTCCGCACCTTTTTTAGGTGTTGTTACCCCACCCTAGAGAATTACCACTTATTTCAATATAGTAGAACATGATGGGCCTTTTGGCACGTTTTAGTAAATAAAAGTTCACACAAGTACGGGCGGTTTTACTGAAGATGTATTTCAACTTTCGTCAAACACAAACATTAATTTCTCCTGTTAAATGTTCCACCCGTAGACGGCTGTGTAAGCTGCAGTCCACGAATATTATGGAAGTCCAATAGCTTCAGCATTTCTTTTGTATCAGAATCAACTTCTATGATGTCCTGCTCTAATGCAGACACAGCAGGTACGTAATTGTCGCGGCGTTCACGTTCTTCTTCTTGCAACTTAATGGAAATACCACGAACTTGAGAGTGACGCAAACGGCCCATCAAATGTGTAACATAGCTACAAAATTCAATAATTACAATAGTTACCAAACTTAAAATCATTTATTTACCCTGCAATTTTATTCCTTAGTGGCTTTGTAGGAATTATAGCGACTTCTTCACAAATACGTTTGTTGGTATGAAAATCTAAAGTCAAACGTGTGTAGTACTTTTCAATGATGACCTTAGCGGCTTTTTTAACCGTTTTAGTTCTGACGCGACCCTTTAAATAATAAAATAAGCGAGTTTATGTCTACAGCATTGCAACGAAATGACCAATAAGACATAGGGAATTTACATGAAGCGATTTTCAGCCAACTTTTAGTTGAAAGCATCAATCGCTTGCTGTAAACGGCCTTTCAACTAATCGTTTTCAATGAAGTTGGTCGGCTGCCTACTTTCGTTTAACTTTTGATTCAAGTAATCGACTGTGAAGTTGAATCATGTAAATTCCCTATTAATGCAACTGAATATACTTTTCCGCAATTAGCAAAATCCTACCCACCATGGTGAACGCTTAACCGGAAGAGAACATAAATCTTGACATGCCAGCTGTAGACAGTGATGCTTGGTATGTTTCACACCAGTCAGCTTTTGTTATACCATGTACTTGCGGACAAGGACCATTCATACAAGGTGATAGCAGTTGCTTCATCGTTACAATAATGACGACTACACATTCACACACTCGGTCGTGATATTTCAATTCGTTTGGTGTCTAAGGGCCGGTTAATCAATGTCTGGTTATCACTACTTGCCGGTTAAACATCATTATCGACGTTTTCGACATCACGCATATAACATGTGATCGATAAAGCAGTCGTATTTAACCGGAGCTTCTACCTCCGATTTGTGCTAATTAGACATTGAACAACCGGCCCTAAAAAATCACTTGGAGCAGCTATTGACTGTTTTTCTGGTTGATATTTTCGCGAAATATTTACAAAAGCCTGCAAATTTTTAAATATGGGCTGTGCTGCAACAATTCTAGACATAATTTTTCAGTAATGGGCCGTATGAATAAAAAATGCAATTGCTTTTTCTTAAAATTTCTTACAGTTTATTCGATTTATTCAAGCAAAATTTAAGTAAAAGTTATGAAATATTAAGAAAAAGCAATTGCTTTGTTTTTATTCATACGGCCTAATATCTCTTCTTTTACAATTTCGTCATATTTTATAGTTAAAGCTCTCACAATTATTGAATTTTACTGCAAATATCCACTTTTTAATAATGTCCATAGATTTTATGCAAAAATACAAATTTTTATGCAATTTTGATGCAAATATTAACTATTGCACTAATTTTTCCCCATAAAATGTAAAAAAACAATGCGTGCGCAACGATTAGCAAGTTACAGTGCCTTACTTAGGCTATCTGCACACTTGTCGTCCAATCATAGTTGCGTTATCGTCTCGCCCTGAAATTTTGAGCCGAGCACATGCATTTCAAAGGAGATCTGCACACTTGTCGTTATCGGCTAGTTATCGGCAAATCGTAGAAGATGCAGAAACGGATAAGTACGGCACTGTCGTTTGCTAATCGTTGTGCACGC